GAGCGATGAAATCGCGAGCGAATTAATTTCGGGAGACGATAATGCAGTTTTATCGTCGTGTATAAAACAATATTTTTTCCATAGCGAGTTACGTTTTAAAAAATATTCAAAAATTATTATTTCAATGAATTTATTACGAGTAGAAAAAATATTGTGCTGGGTTGGCGTTAGTTCCTTTGTAATTTGACAAATAAATAAAGCTGTCTCTTTAGTTGTCAGTTTTGAGTCAATATTTTTTAATTCTCTTTCGTGTCGATAGTTGATTGAATTGGAGCCAGAAATGGCTCAAAACGAAATAACTAAATTACCAACAGATATTCAGGCTGAGGCGACAAACGCCATATCCAAACTACTTCCATTTAAATCCCGAATAACTTATGAAAAGGAATACAAAAATTTTCAAAAATGGAAGCAATTAAAACACGTGCGAGAAGAAATAAAGTTTTTAACCTATCCTCGCTGTTAAAGTATCATTTAATCTACCCTTGCGGTTAAAGTACTATTTTATCTACTATTTTTGATAGATATAAGGCAATTTTAACAGATGATATGGATAAAAATAAATAAATTCTGATTTCACAGTTGCTAATTGCATTTTAAATACTGAAATATTAGATTTTATTATGAAAGTTGCTTTACTGTTGTCCGATAGTGTGTGCCAGTCTGTCTCATCGACATAAAATGTATTCTATCGTTTGTTCTTCAGATTGACGTGCATATGGCTTCGTCTGTCAATTCGATATGCCCATTCACCTGATAATGCTCTATTAGTAAACCCACCACAGCTTTGACAGTGTATCTTCTTATAATCGTAAGACACATAATGTACAGAATTATCATTTTAGTTTGACCCATTTTTAAAAGCTTATAACTTTTTTGTTTGTTGGGTTAAAGCAGTCATTCAAAAAACATGTTGTAGAGGTTTCAGCCAAATTTTTGCGAGTGTTGTCAAAAATGACAGTTGGTGTCACATGTCAGATTTTTAAAACTAAAAAAAAAAACTTTTTAAATGGGACACCCTGTATATTCGTAACGCATTAGATAGTCCCCTTTTCTCCGAATTCAAAAATGTATCACACATGTGCATTCTTTTTAATTTCTTTCAAGATCGACAAAAGCATTAACAAACAAAAAAGTTATAAACTTTTAAAAGTGGGTTAAACTAAAATGATAACCCTGTACCTAACTTCAACAATTTCCGAATTATGAAGTTTTGATTGTGAAATGTTAAACGAAAATTTTGATATAATCTCATATTATGCATCTATAAATGCTAACTTTAAAACTAATGTCAAATATTATTAAGTATCACAGTTTCCGCAGAATGGCATCGTTAAATGGATACCGAACACATCGAAATTAATTAAATCGAATTGTTTAAGTATATATATTTTCAAAAGTCAATAACTCGAAAACGGTTGGTTACATTGTGCATATCTCGATTTTTGCTTAGAATTGAAGGAAGAACCTAAATATGCAATAATATACAGGGGGTTCTATTTAAAAAAATGAAACTTTGATGTGCCACGACTTTATGACCGACCCTGTATACTTAAATTTATTACCCGCTAATAGATATTTAAAAACCCTATAAGTTTTATATTTAACTTTTTGCGGTACCTCTTATATTTTACCCATGGCTGGGAAACTTAAATGGAAATGACAGTTCATTAAAAATAGTTTTTCCTCCAAGATGCAGAGGCGCAAAATATTAAAACTGTCAATATTAACAATGCAAATGTCAATATCTGACAATAATAAAATTTGATTTTTAACTGTCACTCAGAGACGCTTTTGTTGTGATTTTACGATTTGATTTCGTTTTGATTTGTCGAATTATTGTAAAATTAAATTCCTTCAGATTTTTTGCCAGTATTCTGTTTTAGACAATGTTTTTTTAAAAATGGTTGGACAATTTGTGTTTTGTAATAACTCTTAATTATTTTTTATCATGGAGTTTAATTGTTGTACACCTGGTTTCCGAAGGATACAATGGTAAGTAAATTAAACATATCTACTTACAGTTATAGATTTTTAAATTAGTACTGCTAATAAATGCTACTTGCAGAGCAGTTATTTAATTTTTTACGGTGCATGTAAGGAATTAAGGACGCGCGTTTTATATTAGCATGATCAGCAGATGATTACATCTGATTTAATTTGTTTTTATTATTTCAGGTCCCAAACGGAAACAAACTGGGAATCTTGCCTACACCAAAATTATATACCTAGCCGTTTCCAATTCACTTTAAAGGGAGGAAAATTATGTAAAACTGCCTGCTATTTGCTGAAAACCGCCAAAGATTAAATTATAACTGTAACAACTTAATATATACTATTTCTAGTATTTTTAATATATTTTTTAATTAATATCCGACATATAAGAACACTTTGTATGCTTTTAATTCAGTTGATTTATCGTTTATAATATGTTCGACCTAATTAAAAGCACACAAAGTGTTCTTACATGTATGTCTAAATTTATTTTAAATTAACTAAAACAACCCCCTTCCCCGCACCCCTCTCTTTCATTAGTATTTCTTCCTCCGTCTACCAGAGGCGCCCTTGTATAATAAAATTGAAATGTATTATAAGTTGCCTATCTATTTAATAGTATAAGTCTTTTATCTATGATTTTACCTAATAATCGACCGTTCCCATACATATCATCGACCCTGTATATTTTGGTACTTCTATGCTTAGGCGTAAAAGTGCTTTACTTCTATGCCTAGGCGTTAAAAAGACTTTTTATATTGACAATCACGTCGCAAAAATTATTACTTTTTTGACGTTTGAAAAAAAAATCTTTATAATCTAATTATCTTTATAATAGGTTTTTGGCCGCTACCCCTTTAGGCATCTCTAGCTCATAGAATAAAAATCTTGAGAATTTTGTTTAAGTACAAACCTAAAAGTATGTTTGAGGACGTATTTCTGGAAAATAACCAAACCAAACTTCTAACTTCTATAGGGTGGCTCAAAAAAGTGTGAGTGGATCTGTATGATTTTTTTTAAAAGCAACACCCTGTATATTATTGCATTTTTGGCTTCCTTTCAGACCACTTTACATAACCCTAAGAGATGAGTAAACCTATTTCGATTAGTTTGAGAGATATTAAAAAGTAAATCAAAAATATATACATATTTTTCTACCCTTCTTAAAAAAATATTAAAAATTAAAGAACTGTTCTGAAATCAAAACTATATTAAATATTTACTTTAGATGATTTTTTCTTACTTTGCTATAAATATGGTACTCGTAAATCATAAAGGATGTTCAATATTTTACGCCAAACTTTCAAAAATGCAAAATAATTTTCTTCGTTTTTTTAAATGGTACACCCTGTATATTATTTTTTTATTTGATGGGGAATTAAAAAACATTTTTTTGTATTTAAAGTATTTCAAAATTTTTAACAGTTTTCCGGATACACGCAGTATTATTTCATATGGCGCTTTCAATGGTGTAAAATACGAGAAAAATCATTGGGTGGCTTTGATAAAAATTTCCTGAGGAAAATGCCATATGAAATATAACCGGGAATATCTGCGAAACCGATAAAAATTTTGAAATACTCTAAATGCAAAAAATGTTCATTTTTTAATTCTCCATCTATTGAACAAATAATATACAGGGTGTTCCATTTAAAAAAAAACAAAAAATTTTTTTTTTTATTTTAGAATGTTTGGCGTAGAATTTTGAACATCCTGTATGATTTACGCTTTCCATATTTATAGCAAATTAAGTACAGACCATCTAAAGTAAATATCTAATATAGTTTTGATTTCAGGACAGTTCTTGTAGTACGAGAGCTAGCAACGTGGAAAAACAAGTATTTTAAGACGATATATGGCTGTTTGATATATTTTTTACTAGGCTCTCTAGAACATCATGCTACGTCTGTACTATCAGAATATAAACGAAAATAAAATAAAAAGACTTTGCCCTGACCCGGATTCGAACTCTGAATCCTCGGTTCGTAGTCGAAAACTCTACGCACTGCGCTATGGAGACATGTTCGATTTATATTCAATACTAGAATTTATAGGACATAGGACTAAATTTAAAAAAATATAGGATCTTCCTCCGATGCGCAGTAGTGAACGCAACAGGTATCGGCAGCCAGGCGGGCCACATGCTGTTCCAGAGAGCATAGTAAAAGATACTAAACTTTTGCTAGCTCTTAGACTATTGTATTATTAATATTTTTTTAAGAAAAGCTGAAAAATATATATAATATTTATTTATTTATTAATATCTCTACAATTATCGAAATATATTTACTCATGTCTTAGGATTATGTAAAGTGATCTGAAAGGAAGCCAAAAATTCAATAATATACAGGGTGCTCCATTTTAAAAAATCATCCCGATCCACTCACACTTTTTTGAGCCGATAGAAGTTAAAATATTTTCCTGAAATACATCCTAGTACATACTTTACGTTTGCACTTTGCAGCAACCAAACCAAACAAAATTCCCAAGTTTTTTATTTTAGGAGCTACAGATGCACTATACCCGATGCACTATTGACGGACCTTGTATAACTTTTTTATTTTTAGGATTTTAAATTAGGATTGATTGGCGGTATTCAATTGTTTTCGGTCACTTACTCTTTCACCGGAAATGACTACAACTTTTGATTTTTAAATGACACCCTCGGTATTTTGTTACTTTATTCGATAGAAAATGACACTTTGAATAGAATGATATATTTTTTTATTGTTATTGGCATTATAACAATAAAAAACAAACAACCAATCACGGCGTGTCTCAGTCTATTTCGACCTATTTCGGAGTTTGCGGCTGAGATTCCGCGCAACATAAGAAAAGCATTGAGTTTACTTCTGAAAGCATTTCGAAAAATGTTTCACGAAATATTTCCAGAAATATTTTGTGAAACATCGAACATAGAGGGCGTTTAACGATTCAATTGGGTTGCATTCTCTTGTCCGGGTGTTTTATTTATCACATCCCCATATATGTATTTTGTGTTTCAGAGGGATACCGACCGGGTAGAAGAAGAACGCATTCTAACGCACATTGCCCATTTATCCGACATACATTGCTACACTATGGAAAACGTTTCAAAATATTACGACACGGACTTCAAGGTTGCCTGCCTTATCAAAAATCGTGACCCACTATTTGGACGGACAATCCGTCTCATATTTTGCTGCAAAAGCATCAGAAGAGACGAAAAAGAAGCTGACGTCATCGATCGATGGGTGGTAGCCATAAGAGTGGCAAGGGTAAGTTAATATATTACAATATCCCAGAAATAAGTGCAAATATTTTAACTGATAGTATAGTTCGACCAAAATGTCGAAAATTTTATATTTTTCTTGACATTTTCCGGAAAATGTTGAAGAACTTTTTAGTTCCGCTTGTTCAGTTTCGGGAAATTTATTTATGGTGCTTGGAGGGAATGTGCAATGTTGCCATCTCCTACGTTATACCTACATCTCACCCAACCATCACAATACTTAAATTAATTTTATTCCTTGTAGATTTTTTAATCATTGTATATCACTGTTAGGTATAGTGTAATGTCTACTATTTTTGGCCTTTTTTTCGCTATATTAAGAAATATTTTCAATCGTTTCTTTCAACAGTTATAATGTGTAAATATTTTGATAGTGTAAAACCTCTGACAAGGGGTAGGGGACTCAAAAAACTCACAATCTTTTAGGATGTTTATTTCAAATTTTAATTTGATTTAAAATTGGGGCGACATGTTGTAACGTTTTTAGTTCGTTACATGTCTTTGATTATGATATATCATGTCTGGCGTATCATCACCGGATTCCCTATCGTTCCGGCCGGATAATTTATTTGACGAATTTTTACGTTCTCTAGTCCACAACCCTGTTATCGTTTGATACAACCCTGTTATCGCTCTGTGGACGCGCTGTCAACATCGGTTCTGTCAACTCTCTGTGCTGTCGACTGACTTTTGCTTTTAGCGCTCTGTAGCCTAACCTAACCAATGCCTAACCATCCCGGCTTTTAGAAATGGTGATTATTTAAATCTTGCTGTATAATTTGAATCAGCTGCTATTTCAAACCAACAGGTAAAGATGAGATATTATCCTTTTAGATTCGATATTATTACTGCGTATTTTTAGGGTAGAGTTTTGGATGTCCCAACCTAACTTGTATTTGTATTTTGCTGGCACGTTGGCGTCCCTTTTCTTTTGTCCTCCAGAATGTCATATGGAAGAAAGGACATGTTCTTTATTATTTAGTGAGCCCTCGGAAGTAATTCGAGGTAGGTTCATTTTGTTTATTAGACCTTGTTTGATTTTAAACAAGAATTTAGTATTATCCAAGGTCCTAGTAGTATCCAAGGTACGGGTAGTGTCCCCCTGTACCGTTGTCCAAGGTACGGACTATTTCCAAGGTAGAGGCATTATCCAAGGTCCTAGTAGTGTTCCAAGGTACGGGTAGTGTTCCCTTGTACCATTATCTTATGGACGGATGTCCCGTGGACGAGTGTCCCCAGTAGGAGTGATTTATCTTACATATAAAGTGCCCCAGCGTGGATGTAGCTTGAGCCCCATGCTGCTTCGTTCCCATCTATAAGCCAGTTAGTAGTTACGGCTGTATCAATTCATGGTGTCCTCATTCTGGCCCCTTTTGTTGTATTGGATGGCCGAGTGCAGAGATGCGAGACCACCTCACGCTGCTACTCTTTGAAACAGGATTGCCTCAAGAACAGCTAAGTGTAGATTTAGGTTCAGATTTTCAGTCAATTTTTAGTCTTAACTTAACGTACATTTTAAATAATATCGTACAGACTATATTAAGTGGTTAGATTATTAAGAACATTTATGTCGATTTAGTTGGCACAATATGATTTAGATTTTAGGTTTCATTACATTACGCCTTGTAATAGTATTACTTTCTATAGATATTATTATTACGCTATATTAACAGATGAATAACCAGGCATAGATTCTAGAATCTACAGGTTGCAACATATCAGATTTAACACCGCATAAAATTTAACAATTTAAATAAAGTAATGCTACCTTTCTTATATTTTCTATAACGTTACACGCATTGTATTTTTTCATAGTCTTTTCATAGAACATATTTAATATTATTTACATACATAGCTTTACTCGACATATGTACCTATAACCACTATAATAATTATTAAAATTGTACAATGCTATTTACCATCAGGATACATCATGAATGAATATAGTCACTAGTTTTAAGTAATAAACAACTGTGTTTTCTTTCTCTGTACATGCCTGGCGCCCAATATCTATTTCTTTGTTTATTATTATTACTTAATTTTCTTTCCAGTGAAATACCTTATCCACGACTGCTCTCCGATGAAAAGCTGCCGTTCGCAGTGGTAATGTTTTATAAAAAACGTTACACTGTTTCGGGATTCATTTAATTCCTCATCCTCAGGCTCCTCATTAATCCATCCTCAGGCTCAGAACGACAAAAGTCACACTAGGAAGCCATACCACTCGGAAAAAATAAAACAAATGGATTGTTAAAATTCATTAAACAATTGTACTCATTGTAATTGCAAACCAATCCAATTTCTCAAAAGAAAAACCCTTCGTTGTTGTTCTACGAGGGGCAAACCGCTGGTGGTATGTATTGTACAAGCACTTGGTAATACTGGTATATTTTTGGTACTTTTGGTATGTACTAATTTGGTATTTTTGGTAGTAATTGCGTATTATTTGGTAATAAACTGGTATTATTTGGTAATAAACTGGTTTTATCTGTTATTAAACTGGTATTAAACAGGTATTTTGTTGGACATCTGGCAACGGTGGATGTGGATTAACACACGTGGCGACGGCCGGGAAGCTGATCGCATCATTTCTAGCCTATTTGCATTGAAAATCAGCCGCCTTTGCGCTTTTTACACGATCAAAAATTTTTGGTGTTGACCTATTTTATATGAAGTATTTTAAAGTTTTTATATTTAGTGTCTAAGATAAATACCTACTTAACAACAAAATATACCTCGTAATATACATACTTAAGAACAATTACTTGTGTTTCGAGGTTAGGTTGCTGGCGTATTTGAGAAATAGGTTATTTTTACCCGATATTAATTGCCAAGCTTGCAATTTTTCAATGCATAAAAATTGTTTTTACGCAAAAACGGTACATAGCGTCATACGAAAAAATGTCATGAAATTAAAGAACTCGCATCATGGAAACATAATATGGATCTCGTTAGAATTTCTTATTTTTCTTGTGCATATAATTATATTTTTGAGCTTATAAGTAACAAATAGCGCAAATAACAAAAAATTCAATTACTTTTTATGTCTAGTTTTTATTTTATAAATTTTTGAAGTATCGATGTTAATGGAACCGTTAAAATGACTTTTTAAACGTGTCATGCCAGTAGCTTTATTCTAGTTCCCAAAAAGTACGGTTCTAGAACGGTTCAGAACACTGGCACAATATGATTTTTTGCAACTTTTAACATGAATGATTGTCGTAATTAGACTGTGCGATTATAAGCTTATATGTTTTTCTGACCTAATTATCGTAGTTTGACATGAATAAGCCCTAAAGCTCCAAATATATTAAATTCTTTAGATACTAAAAAGAATAATACTAATTTGGTATTTTTGGTTCTAATTTGGTATTTTTTGGAAATAATTTGGTATTTTTGTACTTTTTTCCCAAAATTGGTATTTATCAAATTTATTGTACACCATTTTTTGCAGCGGTTTGCCCCTCGTTGTTCTAATCAATAAAGGCTTATACCATAATTCTTAAACACAGTCTTATATTATTCTATTTATTATTTTTCATTTTTCGACAAAGATCAACGTCTAAGTCTGGTGCTGTGATAATGCTAACATAATGCTGTGATAATGTTAACATTATCACAGCACTAGACTTAGACGTTGATTCTTGTCAAAAAATGAAAAATATTAAATAAAATAATATAAGACTGTGTTTAAGAATTATGGTACTGGCCTTTGTTGATTAGAACAACAACGAATGGTTTTTCTTTTGAGAAATTGGATTGGTTTACAATTACAGTACAATTGTTTAATTTTAACAATCTAATTGTTTTATTTTTTTCCGAGTGGTATGGCTTCCTGGTGTGACTTTTGTCTTTCTGGGCCTGAGGATGGGAATTAAATGAATCCCGAAACATGTCGCCCCAATTTTAAATCAAATTAAATTTTGAAATAAATATCCTAAAAGATTGTGAGTTTTTTGAGTCCCCTACCCCTTGTCAGAGGTTTTACATTGATATGTACTCACATTGGGTTGGAGAACATTTAGTTTATTTAATTTTGATAGTGCTTACTCTTCTCTTAACAGTATTTTATGTCCAACATATCTTACGCAAATACGTGCACATCCACATATTTATTAACCGAGTTAAATAACTCGGTTATTATCAATTTATTTTAAAAATGGTAAAGAGAAAATATGTTTCTTTACTACCACCCCTTAAAATATTAGCAGTTATTTCTGGGACACCCTGTATATATTTTATATATTTATACAGGGTGTCCCAGGCTGAACGTACATTAGAAGTTTCTCGAGAACTACAATATCTCGATGGGATATCTTTTGCATATTTTTATTTCACAACGAGAGAGATACAAAATTTACTATACAGGGTGCTACAAATCCGAGGTAAATTGGACGCATTGGTATCGCGGAAACCAATAGATACGAACATTTTTAAATTGGGGTAAAGTTGCGCTTTAGGATGTTCGCCAAGATGCCGTCAAAAAAGTTTTGTAAAATTGCTGAGTTTTTTTGGAAAAAACGGATTTTTTTGAAAATCAATTTTATTTTTTCATGCCGTTACTTTTTAGTAAATCAAAAAACTAATTGCATATTCTCATAGCCACTTTATTAGAGCTGTCGGATGGTATTTTTAGATTTTCAAAATATCTCATAATTTGTGAGATACAGAGGCCAACTTATTTTTTTTTAAATACGGGCCTGCATTTTTTATTTCAGGTTTTGAAAGAACTCGGTCTCCTGAGTACAATGATATGCCACACTTGATACTTTTTTTTGTTTTGTGTACCTTAAGAATAACAAAACTATGTAATAACAAACTAATTTAATGCAGTAGAAATATTTTTCATACTTGAATTGATATTTATATAAATTTGAGAAAAAATATATTTTTTGCAACAAAATGAAGCAAACTTTTGGAAGTTAGTACTCGCCTAATTTTCCATAAAAGTTTTGAAGTTTTGGAAAGAAAATAACGATCAAGGAA